ATGTTTACCCTCAGAGAGTCCATTCTACTAAGGTGTGTGATGGCATGATATATGTCTAATAATATCACAGTTATCTAGATGTTCAACAAATGCAGTGCTATTAAATTTACCACCTTCATCACACTGAAAAATCTTAATATTCTTTGTGAATTGTTTCTCGACCATCTTTTGAAACTTAACAAAAACATCATAGAATTCAGTTTTCCTTCTTAGTGAATAGAACCAAGTATATCTTGTACAGTTATCAACAAACACTACATAGTATTTCATATGCTGAGATGATTCAACAGGTGCTGGACCCCAAAGATCACGATAAATTTTAAACAAAGGCTATTTTTCATTCTTATTTTTCAATTCAAATGGAAGCTTACATCCTTTTCCTAACTAACAACTAATGCAAACAGTAGGAACTTTATTCCAGTACTTAACATTAATATACTTGTTACTACTAAGAATCTTTAAAGACTTTAAGCTAGGGTGACCTAATCAAGCATGCCAAATACTGTCTATATTCTTCCACTCCTTTTATGCAGATAAGGCATAAACGTTATTGTCCTCCAGTGCATATAGATCATTCTTATTAGATCCCTTGGAAAGAAGTCTCTCTAAGCTCTTCGCCTTTACAACAAAATTAGATTCGTCAAACTCAAGTATACAAGAATTGTCCTTAGCAAGCTTACTAACTGACAATAGTTTCTTCTTAATCTTAGGAACAACAAGGATTTCCTTTATTTTATGTCCAAATTTTGTTGTATTGCCAATATGTGTGATGTCAAGTTTAGAGCCATCCCCAACTATGATCTTATCAGAACCATTATAAGGTTGAAGGTTTGATAGATTACATGTTGAATTAGTTATGTGACTACTTGTACCAGAGTCAACATACATAGCTTCATCTTCAGCCTGTGTATTCTGCAGATTAATAGCAGAAAAAGCCTATGGCAGCTCCTCTGTAGCCTGGTAGGAATAGTCCCACTTGTAGAAGCATTTTAAGGCTGTGTGATTATTTCTTCTACATATTTGGCAATTTTTCTTGCCCTGTTGCTGTCTCGAATTTGCAGTGTTATGAATAGCTTGATTAATCTGATTGCTACCTTGTCCTGCAGGTCTGAAACCTCTTCCTCTTGAGGAGAAGATTGAGTTTCATTTTCTGTTAGAGTAACCTCCACGACCTCTTCCTCTTTGAGCAACAAAAGTCATATTGTAGCCTTGTTGGGCCACTTCTTTTTCATCTTCTCTCATGTCAAATCCTCTAAGAGCATTGACAAACTGGTTCAGGGTAGGATATGGAGCCTTTCCCGGCATGACAGTCCTAAAGGTTTTGTACTTTGGACTAAAACCTCTAGCAAAGTTGATTACTTTGCTGTCTTCATCAACGGCCTTGTGTATGGCTGAAAGACCATCACATATGCCTTTGAACTCCATCAAATATTCATCAAGCTCTTTGGTTCCTAGCTTGATGTTCCACAGTTGTTGCCTAAGCTAAAATTCCTTATCCTTGGTTGTCTGCAAGTATGCTTCCTCCAGACATTCCCTCATTTCCTTGGCAGTTGAACATCCCACAATGAGGTACTTCTTTTTTCAGTCATTGTAACAGAGATCCAACTTCTCAGGAGCACATCCTTTTTCTCTTAGTCAGTGTTGTCATCACCTCTGTCGACAGTCTTGTCAGCACCAACAAAAGCAGATGAACTACTTGTGTCTGGCTTGCCTTCCTTGATCAGGTTTGTCACCTTCATTACCTGAATCAACTGGAGTATTTGGGTCCTCCAGATCAAATAGTTCGATGGTTTCAACTTAACTGGACAAGCGGCAATGAGATGGTGCAGGAAAGCAGGTGATAAACACAAAGAGGTTGAGGGTGTTGTTATGGTCATGTTTGATCGTGTGGGCAACGTAGCTTCAGTGAGCTCTGATACCCTGTAGAAAACCACAAGATTGAGAGGGAATTGTATTGAAGAATCGTGTGTTTTTACATGTATTACAAAGTCATAAGTGACTGAATTTATACAAGTCACAAAATAACTAAAAACTACGCTAAGGATGCTAAGTGATAACTACTACAAATGACTTAGAGTTCTATTACATGTATGACTATTATGTTTAGTTAAGTAGAAATTCTACAATGCAATCTAACTATCCTTATCTCGTTCAAGCTTATCCTTATCATGATCAACTTCTTCAACACGCCAACCCTTGGTGTTGGCTACTGCTAGTTGATGGCGGGAAAGGAATGAAGAGTTAAAATGTATTTATGAGTTAATAATTTGATAAAAATAAGACACCTCTATTTTACGTGTCACATACATACTCATGTAATATTTGTCTAGCTCATAATATTACATGATGTGTAAAACTTTGCTATGGAGCCAGAGACGCTAACTTATTATTTTCGGCCTCTATACAAAAGCATACTTCTTCTTTTATCAAGACTCTATGGAGTATTGACAAAATTAAAGTGTTTGAATGCAGGATTAAAGCATGACCATTCACCTTGCTTTTCTGTACCATATATTAAAAAAAAAAAATCACTTTGCTTTTGCCTTGCACTTGCTCATGCTTCGTCGGGAATCTGTTTTTAAAATCTTTTGTGGCCCTTCTTGTCACGCCAATGGCTCTTCTTTTCGTTTACAAGGCAAACATCATTTCGTATTCCCATTCTTTATCCTCTTCTTTCCTCTTTTTTTCCGTCAGAAACTTGAGAATAAGAGAATACTCAGCTTTATATACATCTAAATTTTGAAGTTGTTGAAACAATATATACTTAAAAAGTTATGGAGTTTCATTGTAATTATTTATTGCAGATGCCCCATTATCTGATTGTTGATTTGTTCTTTTCGAAAATTTAAAGGTTGTTTGGAGAGAAAAAAGAAAAGAAAACTTTTAAAGGTCGGTAAATTCCCTAGTAGTAATAATAGTATCTAGTAGGGTGCGTACAAAATTCAAAGTGGTTAGGGAAGATTATATATATGTCTTGTCTAACTGACCCTTGCTTGTCCCAAACGGGAAACAAGATCTTAATGTTTTGATCTATATATATTTCATCTCCACTCTGAGGTTGATCTTGATGTGCTATCTTTTGATCACTTTGCCTGCCATTTTCGTATGATGGGCTCAGAGGGACAAGCTCTTTTACCATCCACCTCACTTGAGTTGAACCTTTTTCGGCAAAGAATCCAAACACAAATGTTCTTTCCCAAATGTACCACCACACAAATTTGTTGAATCAAAAACCTCTTTAAGTATGGCAACATTATTTTTTGAATGATATATTGGATCAAAAGATATTGTTCCTTTTTGCTCACCACGTACACCTTGCTTTAGTAATATCAACCTTCCAATTTTAATTTTGTTGGGATATATACTATTAACCATGAGTTTGGTTTAGATATAGTATTTATTACGAAATAATTGTTTATTCAGTTTTAATAAAGTTTTAAATAGATCATATAATAGTCTGTGTCCTTTGCTTATATAGTAGATGATTTAGTGTATAGAGTTTAGCTTATACACGGAAGATTAAATCATCGGTTCTTATAAGTATAAAGTTTGAGTTCACAATCTAATGATGGAATTGGACAAACCATCAGGAATGATTGTAGCACAAGATTAAATATAATTAATCTTGATTATGGGAATGGTTTAATTCCAACTTCTTGTGCTAGTACATTTTGTATGTATTGAACGGACCAGGTAGAGATAAGTATTTTATACTGACTTAATAAAATAAACTCTCTAGCCATTAAATGTACTTATACTCTTAATCTTGATATAATTATTATTAGTTGTGTATATTATTATTGTTTTGATTTATTAAAAGACGAGATTCTTTCGTGGGTCAATATACCTGGTAAATTGGATAATAATAATATACATTGGCGAAGTAATAGTTAGTTGATGGAATCCATGTCTCGGTTTAGAGATTGATGATATACCTTTATGAAAGCTTATAAGTTTTCATGTGTAAACCCGGCCGGTGGATTTTGTATCCGACACATGAAATAAGTTAAGCGAAAGTCTAAAGGAAATAATCAATAAATTAAATCGTCAGTAATTTAATTTAATTGATTCGTATCTGAATCTTAACATGGGGAGTTAAATAAGATTTAATGGATGAATTTCGAAATTGAATAAGGAGTGTAATTACGAATTTTTAGTGGAATAATTCGTAATTAATTATGGTGGATATTAATTTCGAAAATTACAAATTAATTCCATAATTGGAAGCCTTGTTAATTAAATTCTGTGGTCCCTACTGTGCCTAAATAATAGGAAATAAAGGAATCCTTTTTCTGGTGGAAAAGAAAACCTAACAGGTTTTGGAAAAGGGTCTTAACCCTTAAAACTTGTGCTATAAATACATAAGGTTTTTCATCTAGAGGTATGAGTACATGGTGGCTGAAATTTTCAGCCAAGTTTTCCTAGAAATTTCGCCCACACGAAATTGCTATTTTCGGGTATTATTTGGGTAACACAGTAGAAGATCGTGGAACGTTCGAGGATCACGATTGTGCGGGTGATGGAGATTCCATTAAGAAGTTATGGAACTGAAGGCTCACGTGGTAGAAGAGATATGTTCACGCTTCAAGAGGTAACCCGTGAAATCCCGTTTATGCTAGTTGTCTAAATTACATGTGATTTTGATACTGGGATTGCTTCCGCTGCATATAATAATCCATCAAATTTCAGATCCAATTTTCTTATAAAATTTGTGATTTCGTGTATTTTAACTTGTTGTAACTTTATAGTTATGGTAGGGATATAAATTTTTAAATATCTTTGTTAGTTGGAGATTAATAAAAATTTTCTTTCACCCCCCAAAATGTAACCAGTATTTTGTTTTAGCTTTCAAGTTGCCAATCTATTTTTTATGAACAGTTAGCTGCAGTTATTTTTTAAATGTCTAAATAATATAACATTCATGTACATTTTTAGTAAAAAAGAAGTTAAAATCTTTTACTTTTACATTTTTTTCTTCTAATACGTACTATTGTCTTTTGTGCAGAAAATATATATAAGATTAGAATAATGCACCAACACAAACTTGATACACACTATAATGGTTAAAGTACTTTTTCGAAAAGTACTTTATCAATGTGGAAATTGATTGTTGTTGGATTACAGTAAGCAGCATAATAGAAACTCTTGACTACATCAAAGAACGTTTGCTTGATGTTGGCATCTAGATCTTCATATGAACAATCAGATTTGGATAGCACGAGTTCAGCTAGTTGTTGCATGTCATATTCTATCTCCATGCATGTTGATATTTCCAGCTGCTTTTCAACCCTCTGATCCTCAGCATTCTGTACCAATAAAATATCCAACCCGTTTATTAATTCGGCTGAGTTTTAACCCGTCCAATTGTAACCCAACATGCACATTTGACCTCCTTAAAGATATGCTCACGCATACACGTTAAGAATGTATCTACTATAAGAAATAGTGTTTGTATATATAACAAATCAATTTGATACTAGTAAATATCTTTTGGACGACCTAACAGTGCAAAACATTTCTTACACTGTAGGTCTTATAAGTTAAACAACATCTATACTGTCTAAGTTTGGCAGCATATTATCATCTAACCTTAGAATGCTGCTTGAAAAGACGGAGACGGTGGCAAACATTATTGGAGATGTTGAGAAGCTTTTGATACATAGGATGCGACAACAATAGCTCATCTGACATGCCGGCGCAGAGATTTAACGTACTAATTAGGAGTTCTGCATCTCCTTTTCCCTCGCCTCCCTCTTCCAATATCACCAGCCACTTTTCCCACTATACATGTTCATAACATTAACAGTATTTTTTAGCTTTCTTTGTCGTAAAGAAAGCTTACCATATTTATTTCAATATTAAACTGCTAAAGAAAATATAGCAAGTACGACTAACAGCATGACGCAAGTGTTGATGGATGTCTCTGCTATGAGTCACCAATGCTTCAAGAGGGAGCTGGTTTAGGGTTCCGAGAAGAGTCCCGACGAGTCTCTGTCTTGTCCTACACCTGCCATTCCGCAGTTCAAAACAACACAAAGTAGCTCACACAATTGAAAGGAAAAATAAACGGTTCCACCCCTTTATTAGTATATACATGAATAGTACGTCTAGAACATAACCTTAGCACCACAATCAAATTGAGAGCGGGTTTGCATTAAACTGAACACCTTATTTTTACCAGGAATTATATATACATATGAAGAAAAAAAACTAAAAAAAAGAATTACTATATAATAAAGTCATGCCCGTTTTCCCACTTTATGTGACATATTTCTATTTGAAAAGTCAAAAGAATTTTTCTCTGACCATATTTTATAGTAAGTATTGTGACTTATAGTAGTAATTTTTTAATAGTTTTTAAATATATAAATTTTTATTTGAAGATTCTATATCCAAATCTCTAGAGTCAGGGGTCGAAACTTTTCTCTAGATATTAAAAAAAATGAAAATAATGGGGATACGTATAGAAATGACACCGCTTGTCATTGTAGTAATTTATTAGTTGGTCGATTTCTTTAAATTGTAACACTGCCTATTAAAGATCATGCGTACGACACTGTCTAAAGCATGCATGCATGAACTGATATACGTATATTTTTTGTATTTTTTAGTAGGAATTATGCATCGTAGTGATGTATTTCACCTAGTATTAGAGTTCCGGCAGTGTAGGTTGCTGCTGCTGCAATGTGCGAATTCGTGACGAAAAGCCGTTTTGTGTTCCCCAGAGATTTGGGAACTGCCAAAGTGGCGTTTAATAGTCTCCATAATAGCAGCGGTTTTGGCCCAAACCAGCCGCTCTCTGTACCTTTCTGGTTCAAATACACACCCCACCGCCAAATAGTACGTCACCAATAGGTTTCTTTCGCTCAATCCAAACTTTCCTAATCCACACTCTCTGTACCACCTGCGTGCATGCAATCATGCAAGAATTAGAGTAGAATCAAGGTAGGTTTGGTGGGTTCAACTGAACTGTTGCTTTCTACTCGGATTATGAATACAGATATATGCAAAAGAGAAAAAATAAAATGTATGCATATAAAAAGATAATACTCATTCTGAGCCAATTGATCTAAATCCGGGATTTTCCTGTGGTATGAAATTTAATCAAGAAGATCCAGCTACCTAGTGACCAGTTCATTTCGTCCTCATTAATGAAATTGTATGCATCAACTTATTACAACTAACCTGATCACTATTGAAGTTGCATGATCACTCAATATAAGTAAGACTTACTGGAGAATGTTTCTCCACTCAAGCTGATGCACTGCTTGGCAATTGTTGTAATCCAATTTTGCCAGCTCCAGATAGGTATTATTATTGACAAATGGCATCCTGAAAAGTGAAGGAGTACTTATATGCATTTATAGCGTAAATTTTTTACACTATCTTAATCAGTTATAGCAAATAATATGCTTTATTTTTCATGTTACTAATATCACTTTTTATGACTATATACTTATATTTATCGTCATTGCAAATGTAGGAAAGTGCTAGCTCAAAAGTATGTAAGGGTCGGATAAGTTCCTCCACCTTTAACTAGAGATCTTAAACTGAAGTTCTAGGATTAGAGAAATTTCTAATATGGAACACGCACTCCTTAAATGCGCACTATGCAGTATAAATTTGAGTTAGTTGAACCAGCGAATTTCAAACATCATATGATTATAAAATAAACTGCTGATTAGGACATTTCAGGAGTTCATTGGTATACGTAGGCCAAATATTGAGTTATGATGAAGATGTTAATACACTGAGTAGACCTTTCACCAAAAAAGCACATCACTATCGCATGTTGACAACTTGCTTCAACATCGCCGAACAATATTACGGTCGTAGGTTAGTTTCCACGAAAAAGACTAAGGCTTTCTAGAGCTTATATTAGTTGTCCTTATCTTTGTGGACAGCACTATACTTAAAGTTTTCTGACAACTTTCTACTGTAGGCGCTCTGTTTTAGTACTCCCTCCGTCTTTCTATACAAGGGTGTTTGATCGAATTGAAAAAAACAAAAAGATCTTGGCATATACAAGAAGTATTTTTAACACTTATGATTTTAAATATTATATAATATTTTTATGCATATAAAGTATATCACTAAGGATACAACAAGAAATTTAAATTTAAAAAACTTTCAAGTATAAAAATGTATCTCTTTTTAAGATAAGTCTTCAAGGAAAGAATACCATATTAAATAGACAATGAAGAGCGTTCCTCCGATAGAACAAAACAAAACAATCATGAAGACAGCAGACAGAGCACAACTTTTGCAAGTAGTTAGACAACTTTATTATATATATATATATATATATATATATATATATATATATATATATATATAATGAAGTAGAAATTAATGAAAAAAGTACCTTTTTATTTAGAAATTAAATAAAAAGTGAGAAGGAAACAACTTTATTTTTATTTGAGAAAAAGTAATTGCAAAAAGTACCTGTACAAGGTTTTGCCAATCCACACATCGTCTTCACCACCATATTGTTCCAGAAAGAACCTTGTTTCTATCCGAGGCAAATTGGCATACCACGGTATGTCTAATGCATAGCCTACCTGTTACACACATAAAAAAAATTATATTACAAAATAAGAAAAGAAAAGAAGAGAATGTGTGAGGGAAAAAAGTTCTCTAGATACAGTAGCAAGTATTAATTGTCCAGTGAAAACCGAAGAGAAACCACTTAATCAAGGGGGCGCTTCGATTGGCTATTTGGCTTAATCTCTAAAAGGCTAGTTTTGAAAAAATTGAAAAACAATTAATGTTGTTAAAAAGTTATGCAGGAGGATTAATAGTATTTCTACTTACTCTCCATGTGACTTGAACATCCATCCAATTATCAACTATTGGTCAACAGACTCAGCCACTATAACAAATCTCACTCGTCATGCACTCGGATTAGCTTTTGGAAGAATGATTTTGGAGCATATTTACTTATGTTGATTTTTTGTGAAATACTACATTTTGATTTATTTTTTTTAAAATTTGAATTTCATAGATAATTGGTTTGATTTCTGAAATTGTTAATATGTTCTTTAATATTGTTGGTTTTTTGGAAACTATTAAATTTTCTAAACAAAATGGCCTCAATATTAATTGTTTACCTCTCCGGGAAGATCTTTGGTGATGATCCACTTGTCTAGAAGTTGATTTTGAGCTCGTTTTTCTTGCAAAAAATAGGAGGAAAACTTGTTGGCATCAGCAAGTATCTTCTCTCCAGGAAACATCAACTGGGAAGCCCTAAACAGATTATACATTCCAGTCACTGCTTGGTTCGATTGTCCCACGAAGCAGAAAAATTCACCCCTGCTCTCAAAGTTTTTGAATACGTCTGTTAGAAAAAAAAAACTTCATCATTATTAAGGAGTTTAAGTTTGGATCAGAATTTTAAGGGTTCTGATTTCTAAGACAACAACCTCAAGGCTAATATAATTGAGTTCGAAATTTAATCGTATATATTAGGTGACTTTCTAACACATATATAGGGCCTAGGCCGAAGATATACTTTGTTCGCCAAACTGATAGCTTATGTTACATATATACATTTTATATAAATAAAAAAAATCTGGAACAATAGGTAATTAGAGATAAAAATCAATTGAACTGATAACCTGAAAAGTAGAGTAGGAATCTACCAAATTATTTAAACTATGCAACTGATATAAAATTTGTTTACACATCAGGTATATAACTTAAACTCAGGGATGGTTCAAGAGGAAGCTAGTAAAGCCTTTGTTTTAGGCCCCCTAAATTTTGGGGCCCCAAAAATATTTTTAGTTGTGGATTTACTATCTTATTTTTGCTTAGATAATATTGAAGTTTATAAAAGAAAAAAAAATACAAAATCCTTATAAAAATGGAAAGAAAGACTATCTATTTTTTAACAATAGAAATATTTTAGAACTTTGAATTAAAATACTCAAATCTTCGTATTGATAAATAACATTTTTTATAATAAGATCCAAGGTAACGAATTGTAAATACGTGGCTAACATCTTATTAACTTGAATTTTCTTACCAATGCGGATATTAATATTATATTTTATAAGATAACTATACTATAAACAAAAAGAAAAAAAACAAGAAAAAAAAAGAGAAACCAATGTAATATTAATACTATATTTTGCAAGATAACTAAATTATAGACAACAAAGAAAAAATTAAGACCCCTTATTAAAATATGGATTTAGGCCAAGAATTTTATTGAGATGTCTTTGCTTAAACTTATTGCTAAAACAATAGCCTGGTATTTTATTATATGAAGGGAACGAGACATATGCAGGTTTTAATGAACTGCATACTAACCAGCAGAAACTACGTAGCCATGCAACCTTAAAAGTCTAAAAGCCATGGCCGTATCATCAATGTCTTGAAGTCTCGAATTTCTAGCCCAACAGATTCCTTTATTTGTCCAATGTCTGCAAATGAGCAGTAGTCATGTATCATATATACTATTCCTTAAATTTCTCTTCACTTGCTCAAATATAGTAGTAGGTGTACTTTTTATGTACCTATTGACATAATCAATACATTCTTTAATTTCTGCCTTAAAATATCGAGAAATTCCAAGTCTTTCCACTCGATCAACCATCCAAATGTGCTCAAATAAGTCCACCGGATATACATTCGGAACTAAATGATTAGCCAAAAAAACCCAACATTCAACTTAGCATTAGATACCAAAAAGAAAAAGCACAATACTATTAGAAATTCGATCAAAATCGACCGATGTCGCTTGTTAATTGGCAATAAATGATCGAAAAGTGATCGACTCGTAGCGGTCGAATTAGTACAATAGATCAACTAAATTCCACACTCGACCCAAAAGAAAAAGGACGACCAAAAAAACGATCGACATCGGTTGGCTTTTCTAAATTATATAATTAATAAATTCATCATCTGATATTATTGTACCACTAGATCATTGATGCTTTTTGGTTTAAGACTTTCTTTAATTTTATTTATACTTTTTAATCGCATTTTTGTGCGAAAATAACCAATCGATTTTGGTCGGTATCGTTAAAAAAAATTAAAATGACCCACTGAGATACCCGACCGATTTCAATCAGTTTTCTAAATATTAAATTTAATTTATTTTAAAAAAAATCGGTCGAAGTTGGTCGATCTTGCAAAATAAACTTCCCATGACACAACAATAATTTCTCGCATCTTGGCGCAAAAAAGGGTCGAATTCGGTTGTTTTCGTAAAAGAAAAATTAAAAAAGAAAATATTTTCAAATATCGGCCGACTTTTGTTGGTTTTTCAGTCAGTTTTTTGACCGATCAAGTCGCGGACGATTTTAACCGAATTTTTAGTAGTGGTGTAAATATACTAAAAGATGGAGACGAATCAAAATTTAGAGTCAATGTCTCAAAATGAATGTGATCTATTTTGCGCTCTAGCAAAGATTATTAAACTTTTTTCAATAGAACCCTTTGAATTTGCTCCAGAGGTAAAAGATCTCACTGTTATAAACTTGGCTGAATACGTACCTCCGCCATTGAATTTCTGAACAGTGTTTGAGAGATAATTGAGACAATTAGTATCATGAGTCTGCATAAGTGCAAAGGCAGTGGAGGATGGAGAAAAGAGGAAAGACCCATCAGCGCACTGCAAGTGAAGTAGCTTTTGCCAGTCCAAATCTGGCATCCCTTCCAAACTGTGGAGTAACGTTGTAGGCACTTTGTGCATTGTGTCTTTTGGTATCCTATTGCGCACACACATAATCATTACTCACATATATACCATGGAATATCAAATATAACATGGAAAATATTAAAAGGAGTTCCACTTTCTATCGCCTAAAATATTAAAAGGAGTTCCACTTTCTATCGCCTAAAGATACAAGAACCTATCGAAAAATTAAAGAAAAGGGAGAAAATAATCACTACTTTTATTGCATTTAAAGCGAAAGAGGAATAGCCTCATCCGTTCTAATTTGATTGTTCATTTGGCAAAGAATTGAAAATATGAATGATTAGTATATGTTGAGAAACTTATTGGAGATATTTGATTTTCTTATTGTTGAGAAGAGCACAATAAAATATAGAATTTTATTGAAAAGTGTAAAAGTAGAGCCATTGGATCTTTCGAGGGTCTGTCAAAGAATGCAAACTTTTCTTCTAGGCTAGGCAATATTTTGGGATAATTAACAAAAGAAAGGTAGACTAACATATTGGAAGGCAACATTTAGCCCATATTTGGATTTGCTTATTTTTAAGTATTTATTGGTTTTTAAGCATTTTTTTAATTTGTGTGGTGTTTGACAATGATAAAGAATACTTAAAAGTACTTCCTTATTTTATCTTGCTAATACCACTTACTATGTTCTGTTAAATATAGTTATATTTTTTTTTAAATATCTAATTGTGAAAAAATCCTTCTAAATTGTCATGTTTAGTGAGACGAAATCTGACTTCAATTAATCTGTTAGCCCAACTATGATTAATTTCTTTAGCTTAGTGTAAACATAAATTTTAATTTCCTGCTGATCAGGAGTAGTAAGTTTAAGATGTGCTTGACTATATATATACCTTGTGAGTTTTAGATTTCCTCTGGCATATATCTCTCTCAAGACAGGAGAATCATCCGGAATATCAATGCCTATCTTTTTTCCAATCTCAATTAGTGAAGGAAACGCCACTTCAAATCCTATTGGCATATGCTCAGCATTTTCATCTCCAATCTTGCTTAAATTCTCTCTGATAAACGACATTCCTATCCAAAAACAAAAGAAAAGCCAAAAGAAAATACTACATGATTACCTCAACATATATACAATCAAATAATGGAGTATATATAATAATGATGAATGATAACATAAACTAGTAAGCAGTGATTACGTATACATCATTACCTAGTTCTCTTTTGTCAGCGTGCAAATTCCAAGATTGCAAAGCAATAACACAGGCCAATGTGTTGATGATTCGATCGTGAGCCAAAAAGATGGACTTGTCACCCCACGAACCATCAGCAAGTTGATTGTTGGCAATCCATTCAAGACTTGAAGGGAATTGAGGAGTATCGCTTCCATTAATGTCTTTCACAAGAGCAACCCAAGCTGTGTCATAAGCTGATATACTTATCTCTCCATCATCCATGCATTGCAACATTAACCGGACGGCATCAATATGTTCCTTTATCTTATTTGATCTGTACACCTTTTACGTAACATAATTTTCCGATTAAAAACAAACAAACAAAAACATTCAAGAATATGCATGTGTACTCAAAATTCATATATATGTATTTTAATATATTGTAGCAGGTAACTTAGTTTTATTTTTCATATTGTGAATCTCACTTTTTATAGATAGTTAGATGCAGTATCTCATAGGTGCAATACGGTAGCTAGTGTAAATATTCTTTTACACTAGCTATTAATTAATATATATATAGGGGCGGAATTAGCTAGGTGCTGTAAAGGAGATTCAATGGAATTCTTCGTCGACAAATTAAACGATGCAAATAACTCATAAGCTATTCTTTTTTTGTTATTTTATAAAATATTGAATCTCTTTGTCATAAGAGAATATACTAGTGTAGAGGTAAAGGGATTGCAAAGATTGCGTTATGTCACAGATTCACATTCCACTTATGATATTTTAGTATTTTCTTGAATATCGTTTATAAAGATTTGGCTCGTCATAATTTAGACTCAAGGGGAAAAGAGAAGCAATAAAATTTTCGTTATTGGCCGAACCACCTCTTGTGTTTCTTCTTCTTCTTGTTGTTCTTGTGCACTGTCTGCTTCCTCCACGTTGTCGTCCCACTTGATAACTGGCAAACCATTTTTAAACACCTCTTTGTATTCTGCATTTTTATTTTTTAACAAATCAATATTGTCATTGTTTTTGTCAAAAAAAAAAAAAGAAAAAAAAAGAAAGGGAAACAAAATATAGTCGATACCTTGTGCGCGAGGTCTTGAAACCGCATTGCATTGCAGATTGGAGCTGTAAAGTACTTGTTCTGTAGAACACCCGTTGGCTGTAAGTAATTATTTTGTACTTAAACTTCCAATATTTTTTGTAACAATAGTACTTCTAGTAATTCTCAGATGAAAAATCGACCCTATATAGTATATACTAGTATTCTAAGGACAATAATATACACGATGCATGGTTTTTTCAGTAATGCATCAATGTTAAACTTAAACCTTCATAAACCAAAGTGATACAAAAAAATGATGGGATGGGGGTGGAGGCGAGGTTTAATAAAAGCAGCGCTAATCCCCCACCCCCAAAGAAAAAAGAACAA